AAAAAAAAGAAAAAATTAAATTCTCCTCTCAAATATACTGGCCTTGACCTGTCTTCTAAAACTGATAAAGTTACTAGCTGATTTAACTGTAGGAGGTAGGTTGTTATAAATATGTACAGCGTTGTAAGAGAAAGATCTGCGAAATAGAGCAGAGGCATGCATAGGTACGACATAAAGGTCTTTGTAACGAGTTGAACGGCTATGGACATCACTACATTTAATTAATTTTTTGAATAAATATTTGGGTCTTTTAGACTTATTAAGCTTAAACACCAAACATGCCATGTGCAGCTGGAAACGCTCATTTAAATTAAGCCACTTAGACTGTTTAAATGTGTCACTAATGTGGTCATATTTTCGTAATCCATAGGAAAATCTGATACATGCATTCTGCACCTTCTGCAGGCTTTCTTTATCTTTATTCAAAATAGCGGGCCAATAGACTGTGTCACAGTAAGCAATATTACTAAGAATTAGGGAATCACATAATTTTAATTTTACATCTACTGTTAAGTAATCTTTGTGAACATAAAGGGATCGCAATTTAGCATAAGATTTTTGCAATAAAAAATTAACGTGTGTGGAAAACCTAAGATCTCGATCAAAATACACTCCTAAGTTTTTACAGTCATTACTAGGATTCAGAATTGTTCCATTAACAGAAATTTTAAAACGAAAATCATTCGATATTAAATCTTTATTCTTACCAACAACGAGAAGCTGCGTTTTCGTTCCGTTTAAAACTAAACCATGTGCTTGAGACAATATTAAGATATTATTTAAATCACTATTTATTTTTTGAACTGAATTATCCAGGTCACCCAGTGGAAAACGAAAATATAATTGAAAATCATCAGCATATTGATGCGAATGGGCATTTCTAACCGCACCCGGTAGGTCTGCAGTATAGATTGAAAACAGCAAGGGACCAAGCACACTACCCTGTGGGACTCCCACAGTAATATTAATTAAAGTGGAAAAATTTCCACTAACAACAACTTTTTGACGTCTACCTGACAAATAATTCTCAAAAAAGTTAACAACTCTGTGATCAAGTCCAAAATATTTAAGTTTACAGCATAAAGTAGCATGGTGAATAGTATCGAAAGCCTTGCTATAATCAAGCAACACAAGACACGCATTTTCATTATTATCATAAGCTCTATATAACTCATCCGACACATGTAATAGAGCAGTAGAAGTACTATGATGCGTTCGAAATCCTGACTGCGTTGATGGTAGAACGTCAAATTTGTCCAAAAAGTGAGCCAGCTGTTCATGAACAACCTTTTCCAAAATTTTTGAAAAGGTACAGAGTATGCTAATGGGACGAAAATGTGTTAAATCAGAGGGTTCTGAATTCTTAGGTATAGGGATGACTACAGCATCCTTCCAACAAGATGGAAAAGTAGCGGAGTTCAAGCATTCATTTATAATAAAAGTAATATGATTGAGTAACTGAGGTATAATCAAATTTATCATCTTGCAATTAATTCCATCAACTCCTTTCGCATTAGATTTGATAGTGTTAAGAATTTCCAGTACCCTCTGTGGCGAAACATTATTAAATTTAAATTTTTCGGATATATTAGGCGCTAATTTACCCCTGTAGGTATCAGCAATATAATCATTGTCAACAATAACCGCTGGTAACTTGTTCACAAAAAAGTCATTAAATTCCTGAGCGCTTGCAATAAACTGGGAAGAATGTGAATTATTGCTATGGACATTAAGAGATTTCAAGGTCTTCCAAAAAGCTCTAGAATCAGTTGCAAACTTATGCTGTAAATACCCTCTCTTTTCAGATTTAATAGCTGTGTTTACAAAATTCCTAAGATCTTTGTACTCTTGCCAATTAACCTCAGATTTAAATTTTTTATATTTTAAATATGCACTATCTCTTAACCGCATCATTAATTTAAGATTTGGCGTAAGCCACGGAGCCGGAGGTTTAGATATTCTTATGGTTTTAAAAGACGCGTGCATATCAAATAAAAACAAAATTTTATCATTAAAATAATCAACCATTTCATCAACATTATGTAAGAGGTATATGTAATCAAAATTAATTAAATTCAAGTCCCGATTAAAGCTAACGTAGTCAAAATTAGAAAAATCACGGAATGTTCTATATTCCGGCAGTTGTTTAGTAATATTAATGTTTAAATGACACTTTACCAAATGGTGGTCAGAAATGCCCTGCATATTTAACACTTCAACATCAGTCGGCAAAGTTACATCAGATGACACAATAAGGTCAATTAAAGTTTTACTCGTCGCTGTAATCCGAGTAGGAGAAGAAATAAGTTGATGTAAACCATATTTAGTTAAAAGGCTATTTAAGGCAACGAAGTCTTGAGTTTTTTTAAGTAAACAATCAACATTAAAATCACCACCAAAGATTAGTACATCACATTCAGGAAATAGTGCTGTAAACGCATTTTCAAGCTGTGCAAGGCTATCTGATAAGTTAAATCGGGGAGGTCTATATAAAGTACCCAAACAAAATTTTTTACCACGAATTTAACTGAGATCCAGAGTTGTTCAATAGCATCCCCATAAGGAATGTCAAGTAATTTAAAGTTAATAGATTTATGCGCACAAAAAAAGCAACACCACCTCCTCTCCCTTCGCGATCCTTCCTAACAATACTATAATCAGCAATTTTGAAGTCGTCACTACGAGTACTATCATCCAGCCATGTTTCAGATAAGCCAATTACAGAAAATTTTTCATTAAAAACTAAGTCCTTGAACAAATCAAAGCCAGTTCGTATGGATTGAATATTAAAGTGAGAAAAAGAAAATTTACTATTATGCATACTAAGATCGCTAACNTACTATATTTTTTTAGAAATTTTAGAAAAACCGTTTTTTTCAACTTTGCGATTTTTTTAACCATATTCGCCATATTGGATCGAGTTTAAAGAACAAGAAACTCAATTTAAAATTTAATTTTTTATATGATCATATTTTTTTTGTCAGGTAATAATTTCTGCAAATTTAACATTAATCCGTGACAGAACGCTTGGACTAGTACTTAATCTACAACGGCCTCAGAAGCATAATTACCTTTAGAAAATGTAATTTTCCTTTAGTTTAAAATACTCTAATCTTTTACCTCTTGTTAACATTTTAATAATTATTTATTAATTGTTTATGAAATAAAGTAAGTACAACGTTTTGTGGTAATTATATATTTTTTATTATAAAAGTATTACAAAATATTTATTTAATTATCGTACAGAAAATTACGTGGTATAAAAATATTCGTCGATTACATTTTTTAAGTATATCACTCTTATATTTGAATTCCTCTTCAATTCGCTCAAATGTGATTCATTTTCTTCTTCGTCCATGGTTTTGTTTCCTATATTTTCCACGCAATCAAATTCATTTTTCACATAATTCGTTCCATCAATGAGTGATTCAAACGCGTCTAATTGGATGTTTGGAGTTTCAAAATTTTCACATTGGGACTAAACGAAATTTACATTTTTCAAAGGTAATTATGCTTTTGAGGCCGTCGTAAACGTAAAAATGCAAAAGTGGCTAAAATGAACCACAGTATTTCTTTATTGAAAATATAAATCTTCAACTTGAATCTCTGTAAGAATGGATGTTGTAGCACTTAAATAGCGGCCTGTGAAATTTTTTGAAAAAAAAAATATCTCGGCTCTAGGGGTCTTAGATCAACGTTTTTTTTAAATCTGCGTAAAAATGCCAGCAATCAATTCCTGTAATAGATATTATCCACAACTGAAATTCGAAGAAGATATTCAAGAAAAACGCGACAAATTTTGTTTTTTATTTTTTTCAATCATTTTTGGACACTTTGGAAATGAATAAAATCGTTATAACTTCTATTTTACCATGAAAGTACAACTCTTAAGGAAAAAAATGAGTCGTGATTCGTTTCTCTAAGACTATTTGTCGAACAAGAAGACCCGATTTTCGAAATTATCTTTTTTTCGAAAAATCGATATACAGGGTGAGTCATTAATTATGGGTACACAGCTTAATGGCAGATTGTTAACGTCAAAATATAGCGATTGAGCCAAACATGCCTTAATCAATTGTTGCTCATTTTTATTCTACGGGGTGTTAAAGTTGAAAAAATATTTTCATTTTTTATCTATACTTTAAGTATGTATGGGCCGATTGTTTTGAAAATTTGTAGTTTTACGTTTTTTGAGGTGGCAAATCCAAATATGCAAATAATGTTGGGGTCACGTCTAGGGGCCGCTAGTTGTACTGACCTGTCAATGTAAAAATATGTCTAACTTTTTATATTTTACAATTTTAAATTTTTTTAACTAGAAATTGTTGAACTACGTTCAATTCTAAATAAAAAAGGTATACTTGTTACAAATCGACAAACTCAACTGTTTTCGAGATACAGACATTTTAAGTTTTTGAGATTCGACGGGAATTAAATTAGAAAATTTATTTTTTCCAAAGTAGTAGGCATGGACATAATAAATTGACAGCTGCCACTACAATACCATATTGTTTACTACTCGATTTGATTAAGAAGTAGTTTTTTCCTTGTCGTTTTATTTTTTAGAGAAGAGAATATCTTAATAAAAGGCTAAGAAAGTGCATTGAAGTTGCTGGTAGTTAATAATTTGTTAAGATATGCATAATAAAATCTTTATTTGCTGTAATGTTTGTCTTAATTCTTAATTCAGGCTTGGTATCTTAAGACCTGCTAATTTTCTAATTTAATTCCCGCCGAATCTCAAAAACTTGATAATGTAAACAATGTAAACAGATGTTTACATTGATAGGACAGCATAACTAGCGCCCTCTAGACGTAATCCCAACACTGTTTGCATATTCGTATTTGCCTCCTCAAAAAACGTAAAACTACAAATTTTCAAAACAATCGATCCATACATACTTAAAATGTAGATAAAAAAGGAAAATATTTTTTCAACTTTAACACCCTGTAAAACGAAAAGGAGCAATAATTGATTAAGGCATGTTTGGCTCAATCACTATATTTTGACGTTAACAATATGCCATTAAGCTGTGTACCATTATTAATGACTCACCCTGTATATACTAGAAAAATGTTTAATATTTTTTTTATTTAAAAAAGGCATTTTTTTGCTTGCCGAAGGCTACATTTACAGCAAGTAACAAGTTTAGAAACCTTAATTTGCAAGAGATACAGCAAAAACAAAAAAAGTCGATTTTTGTCGATTTTTGTCGATTTTCTCGATATATCTCGAAAATTGCTTATTTTTTAACCGATTCCTTAAAGTATGTTCAAAATAATCATTAAGGGTTTCCATCGCTTGTATTCTTGTAAATTATATTATCTCCCTAAGTAATGTACGCATGTTTCAGTCGTATGTCCGAAACATACATATAGCGAAGATGACGAAGCTTTCTGCAAATTGTGTCCTGCTGGCCAGTACCAACCAAACCCAGGATCAAAAACTTGCATTGTCTGCTCATCGCCCGTAGACGATTCGATGTGTCTTCGAATGTTGGTAAATTTCAATATGTTTTTTTTACTTAAAACGATATTCGTTCTTTCAGTCTGTTCAATATTACAATAAAAACTCAACAGAACAGAACACCCAGTACAAATTTTATTTCCATAAATGAATGCCTTCCTAATAAAATAACGCACTCTATTTTCCAGTACTCCGACACAAAACTGTTCAAAATATACGTCGGTGTAGCTTTCGGGATGGTCGCGGTAATAATCCTGATCCTGGTCTATTGGTCCAGCAGTGGAAGGGGACACAAAGACTCCGTTCGTTTCGAAGGTTCCCTGAAACACCGGGCTATGAAAAGAAGAGATATCGACATCGAGACTGCTGCTTTGGAACCTCTTTTAAATGATCAGAATGCCCAGAAGAAACGAAGACTCACCCCACCGAAAGTACCTCCCCCTGACTTTTGACACACATATACATTTATTTATCTTGTAAGATTTATTTTGTATACAATTTTAAAAATATATATACAGTAAATTATATTTTTTCAATGTATTGTCTTTATACCATAATCATAATTCTATATATAAAGTATATTAAGAAAGATGATATTACAAGAAGCATCTATTTTATAGAAGTTACAGTATATTTTAGAATTCAATGTTCTGAGTGGTTTATCTCCAATTAATAAAACAGTGAAAAACAGTTGCTTTAAGAAAATGTAATAATAATAATAATATGTCTTTATTCTCTACAATAACAATGAAATTATAAAAACAAACAAAAGACGGCGAGATTCAACAGAGTTGCTCTTCCATCTAACCGCCTAACACGTTAAAGTGTGTGTGTAACATAAACAATATCATAAACACATATGTCCACCCACACACAGGCGTGAACTCAATGCTAGACAGCGAATAATATCAAAAGCTAAATTATATATAAAAAAAAAAGAAAAAATTAAATTCTCCTCTCAAATATACTGGCCTTGACCTGTCTTCTAAAACTGATAAAGTTACTAGCTGATTTAACTGTAGGAGGTAGGTTGTTATAAATATGTACAGCGTTGTAAGAGAAAGATCTGCGAAATAGAGCAGAGGCATGCATAGGTACGACATAAAGGTCTTTGTAACGAGTTGAACGGCTATGGACATCACTACATTTAATTAATTTTTTGAATAAATATTTGGGTCTTTTAGACTTATTAAGCTTAAACACCAAACATGCCATGTGCAGCTGGAAACGCTCATTTAAATTAAGCCACTTAGACTGTTTAAATGTGTCACTAATGTGGTCATATTTTCGTAATCCATAGGAAAATCTGATACATGCATTCTGCACCTTCTGCAGGCTTTCTTTATCTTTATTCAAAATAGCGGGCCAATAGACTGTGTCACAGTAAGCAATATTACTAAGAATTAGGGAATCACATAATTTTAATTTTACATCTACTGTTAAGTAATCTTTGTGAACATAAAGGGATCGCAATTTAGCATAAGATTTTTGCAATAAAAAATTAACGTGTGTGGAAAACCTAAGATCTCGATCAAAATACACTCCTAAGTTTTTACAGTCATTACTAGGATTCAGAATTGTTCCATTAACAGAAATTTTAAAACGAAAATCATTCGATATTAAATCTTTATTCTTACCAACAACGAGAAGCTGCGTTTTCGTTCCGTTTAAAACTAAACCATGTGCTTGAGACAATATTAAGATATTATTTAAATCACTATTTATTTTTTGAACTGAATTATCCAGGTCACCCAGTGGAAAACGAAAATATAATTGAAAATCATCAGCATATTGATGCGAATGGGCATTTCTAACCGCACCCGGTAGGTCTGCAGTATAGATTGAAAACAGCAAGGGACCAAGCACACTACCCTGTGGGACTCCCACAGTAATATTAATTAAAGTGGAAAAATTTCCACTAACAACAACTTTTTGACGTCTACCTGACAAATAATTCTCAAAAAAGTTAACAACTCTGTGATCAAGTCCAAAATATTTAAGTTTACAGCATAAAGTAGCATGGTGAATAGTATCGAAAGCCTTGCTATAATCAAGCAACACAAGACACGCATTTTCATTATTATCATAAGCTCTATATAACTCATCCGACACATGTAATAGAGCAGTAGAAGTACTATGATGCGTTCGAAATCCTGACTGCGTTGATGGTAGAACGTCAAATTTGTCCAAAAAGTGAGCCAGCTGTTCATGAACAACCTTTTCCAAAATTTTTGAAAAGGTACAGAGTATGCTAATGGGACGAAAATGTGTTAAATCAGAGGGTTCTGAATTCTTAGGTATAGGGATGACTACAGCATCCTTCCAACAAGATGGAAAAGTAGCGGAGTTCAAGCATTCATTTATAATAAAAGTAATATGATTGAGTAACTGAGGTATAATCAAATTTATCATCTTGCAATTAATTCCATCAACTCCTTTCGCATTAGATTTGATAGTGTTAAGAATTTCCAGTACCCTCTGTGGCGAAACATTATTAAATTTAAATTTTTCGGATATATTAGGCGCTAATTTACCCCTGTAGGTATCAGCAATATAATCATTGTCAACAATAACCGCTGGTAACTTGTTCACAAAAAAGTCATTAAATTCCTGAGCGCTTGCAATAAACTGGGAAGAATGTGAATTATTGCTATGGACATTAAGAGATTTCAAGGTCTTCCAAAAAGCTCTAGAATCAGTTGCAAACTTATGCTGTAAATACCCTCTCTTTTCAGATTTAATAGCTGTGTTTACAAAATTCCTAAGATCTTTGTACTCTTGCCAATTAACCTCAGATTTAAATTTTTTATATTTTAAATATGCACTATCTCTTAACCGCATCATTAATTTAAGATTTGGCGTAAGCCAAGGAGCCGGAGGTTTAGATATTCTTATGGTTTTAAAAGGCGCGTGCATATCAAATAAAAACAAAATTTTATCATTAAAATAATCAACCATTTCATCAACATTATGTAAGAGGTATATGTAATCAAAATTAATTAAATTCAAGTCCCGATTAAAGCTAACGTAGTCAAAATTAGAAAAATCACGGAATGTTCTATATTCCGGCAGTTGTTTAGTAATATTAATGTTTAAATGACACTTTACCAAATGGTGGTCAGAAATGCCCTGCATATTTAACACTTCAACATCAGTCGGCAAAGTTACATCAGATGACACAATAAGGTCAATTAAAGTTTTACTCGTCGCTGTAATCCGAGTAGGAGAAGAAATAAGTTGATGTAAACCATATTTAGTTAAAAGGCTATTTAAGGCAACGAAGTCTTGAGTTTTTTTAAGTAAACAATCAACATTAAAATCACCACCAAAGATTAGTACATCACATTCAGGCAATAGTGCTGTAAACGCATTTTCAAGCTGTGCAAGGCTATCTGATAAGTTAAATCGGGGAGGTCTATATAAAGTACCCAAACAAAATTTTTTACCACGAATTTTAACTGAGATCCAGAGTTGTTCAATAGCATCCCCATAAGGAATGTCAAGTAATTTAAAGTTAATAGATTTATGCACAAAAAAAGCAACACCACCTCCTCTCCCTTCGCGATCCTTCCTAACAATACTATAATCAGCAATTTTGAAGTCGTCACTACGAGTACTATCATCCAACCATGTTTCAGATAAGCCAATTACAGAAAATTTTTCATTAAAAACTAAGTCCTTGAACAAATCAAAGCCAGTTCGTATGGATTGAATATTAAAGTGAGAAAAAGAAAATTTACTATTATGCATACTAAGATCGCTAACCGAGTTCCTGATACCAATCTAAACTAATATACCTATAACTATACTTAAAAACTAAGATACATAAGAATGCCCCATTAAAAGTGTTTAAGCAAAAATACCCTATAAATAAATTATTTAGAAGTATCTATGGAAAGTATTAAACCTAAAGTGTGTCTGAACTGATTAGATTGACTAGGGGAAAAAACTCACATTAAAAACAGCCGAACAGTTCCTAAAGTAAACAAGCTATATTAAATTTAATTCTATTCCTACCGCATCAATAAAGTTAATCAACGCAATCATACAAAGTTTTCTTGCCGTCTTTTAGCATATAAATTTTACCACCTACAGTCCAAACCTTGTCTTTTCCATATTTTTCTTTCGCAGTTTTCAAAACCATATATCTTTCCCTAGAAAGGTCTTCAAAAATTGAGATGTTCAAACCCGATCTCTTTAAACTTTTCCTAGCTCCAAAAACTTCTGCTCGTTTCCAGTTATTAACAAAGGTAACTAAAACGGGACGTGGATGCTCCATACCAAGTCTTAACTTACCCATGCGAAAAGCACAGTTGATGTCTGAGACAGAGCAAGGAACATTTAACGTTTCACTTATAAATAACGCCATAAGTTCAGGAACATTTTCTTCTTTATTTTCTTGCCATTGCTACCATTGCTTTTAATAGACTGCTCACAGGAACTAAGTCTGTTATTTAACTGTTTAATTTCCTCGCTATTGGAAGAGACTGTACCACTAAGAGACATAACAGATTGGTTAAGGTGAGTAAGATTTGTAATCTCGATCTTGTTCTTCAAAAACGCTTATTATTATTATTATTTTTTAATATAAAAACCGCACTTCACAATAATTATTATAGAATTAAGACAAAAATATCAAATCAAGTTTATAAATTTCAGTTTTAAAAATTTGCCAAATCAGCAAACCGTTTTATTTTAGAGATTTTTAAAATATAGAAATATGCTGGGTTTCCTAGAATTTGTAGGCAATGTCTTAAGATATATACTTGAAAATACTTTAAAATACTTTGTGTAATTTAATTATTTTTTAATACGATAGACAACAGATGATCTAACAATATTTAATTCGCAGTCCACCGAAATTTTTTCAGATTTATCTGAGGCCTAAAACTTTTTGAGAAAATCAATGAAAATTGTCCAAATATTAAAGTGCTCATCTAAAGGCGGTACCGTACGCACCAGGAGTCGCTGAACATGCTGCCGCTGCGATAGCCAGTTTTTGTACAAATGCTTCCGTTAAGTAAAAAAATCGAAAATTTCGAAAATTGGATGAGCTAGAGAGGAACCGATTGCAGTCAAGTCCGTTACACCTGATTTTTATTAGATTTTTCTGAAACTTTAAACTAAGTCACGAATATGCCAGTAGCATGTCTCGAAATCAACATGTTTATTTGAAAAATGAAGAAAGTTGGTATATATTTGAAACTTTAATAATAAAAACTGGTTTAGGATTTGAATTATCTCTCAAGTTAATATAGTCCTTTTATTTATAAGGATATTATGCAGCGCCATCTATATATTACGAGTTCAATTAACTCGGCGCACAGTGAGAAATTATTGCAGTTAACTATTAGCTAAAGAATTATTCCGCTGTTTAGTGCAGATTCTGAGCGATAGATGGCACCATCAAAATTTGGTACTTGAATGCAACTTAATTAGTTAACTAATACAAGTGAGTGTAAAAAAATTAAAAATTATATTTCTAGGATAAGAATACTAATGATAGAGCGGTAACTGAATTAAAACAAATTTAATACTAAAGATTTAACTCTAATAGTTTATACCACAAAGTATAATACAGGGTAGGAAAGTACCGATGGTCTATCTGAAGTTACGTGAGAGCGATAAAGTAAGCCATAGAAATCCATGCGATAGAGAAGGATGGCTATAATGAAGGCCTCTCATAGTCACCGCCCGTTTCGCCCTTCCACAAATAAGATCCACTTCTTATTTGTGGAAGGGCGAAATGGGCGTTGACTATTAGACGCCTTCATTATAGCCATCCTTGTCTATCACATGGATTTCTATGGCTTACTTTATCGCTCTCATGTAACTTCTGATAGACCATCGGTACTTTCCTACACTGTATAGTATATACCCTGTGGTGAACATTTGTCAGTTTTGTAATTTACTGTTCTGTATTCTGTGTTCTGTCACAACAAAATGATTATCAGTTAAATCAGTTTATCTTTACTGTGGTTCTGTGTTCTGTGTGCTATGGTCAATGGTCATTGATTTGTTGGGGTTAATAAATAAGAATATTTCTTAAGATATAAAACAAATAAGCAAAATGGATATTTAGATTTAGCAATTTACATTAAGATATTCTATTTTTAATTCAAATATTTAAAAAACAACAATGGGTGAGCCGGGAAACGTAAGTATTATACATATCTAGAGACAATTTAAGGTTATAAAAAATACCGAACCGCAGCTACCTCCACCTCAAATGATCATGAATCCAGAAGTCATGCAAATGCCTCCAGGTACGGGACCTGAAATTATACTTATGATGCCGGGTCCGCCACCAGAATCAATGTTGGGTACTCCACCACCAGGATTTGGACCTCCAGGTACTCAAGGATGGACAAACGACGACTTTGGTAATTAAACTAATGAAAAAATACTATGTTATTTATCTATAAACACACCGATTTCACTAGTCCTTAATTTTAGGTAGTGTAAACCCACCCATGATGCAGCAACCTCCACCTATTAACGAAAAGCAGTTACCTTCCTTACTGTCGCTAAAAGTCGACCCACCGGAGCAGTTAGTTGAGGGTGGTAATTCCGAAGTCGTCCTGCCTCAAGCGTTGGAAGAAGTGCTAGCTCTTAAAAATCAAAGAGCGCTGGAACTCGGCACCGAAATTGACGGAGGCAGTGAAACAGCGCCAGTGCAGAAAGAGTCGGAACGGGAACCGTTGTGGGAGAAAGATGATAATGTGGTGAGTTTGCTGACACTTATCTTTATCAATCCATGTTTTGTACTTGTTTGTGTTTATTTCAAATTTGGAAAATACGGTCATTATAATATACATATGAATGAAATATGTGTATTTCAATTTTTAAATTTTCGTTGCAATTTCAGTTAAACAGTTAAAAGTTAGAATGATGCTATAAAAAAACAAAATTACAAAAAAAACATAAGCAAAAAAGTAGTAACCAGAAAATACAACAGATATGGATATCAATAGAAAAATTCTTCATATCTTAAAAATATTGAACACAAAAGTCAACATTATTATCACACCAAAATCCAGTTCATCACTATAAGTGGAGCGTAGCGTAGTTTTATGTACAGCTACAAGAATTAACTTTTGTGATTGGCTTTTTCTGAAGGTACATTAAACTGAAACAAACCCAACACATTGGAATTATGCTGAATGTTAATGCTGCACACATCTATTAAAAATACTTTAAAAAGAATATCAGATTTTTCCTAAACTATTACTGTGTATTAACAATGATCTGCATAGGTCACGGCAATGAGCCATACTTAAGCTTAAACCTTACCAAAGCGTAAGAAAGTTTAATAACTAAATAAAAAACCTAAAGTGTTGTAAGCAGATGAAATTGGTTCTTATATGAAGGTTGTGTATCGAATACTAGCGGCCCGTCCCGGCTTCGCACAGGTGGACATTTATTTTAAACATTTTGGGATCTAAAAAATATAGCCTATGTTAATCAGGGATAATGTAGCATTCTAATGGTGAGAGAATTATCGAAATCCGTCAGTAGTTTTTAAGTTTATTTGTAACAAACATACATACAAAAATACAAATCTTCCTCTTTATAATATTAGTATAGATTACTCATATACTCTCAAAAAATTTAAGGGAGCAGAGAAATTTCCAAATTTTTTTAGTGATTTTCGAATGACGGTAACTTCGTGATTAATGGTCATGGGAGAAAAAAAGAAGCATCTTGAAGTTTTAAGATTCCAGTTTTGAAATCCTAAGAAATGTTACAATTTTATTTTTTAATCAGTTTGGAAAAGTGCAAAAAATTACTTTTTATGCTGTTTTAGAAAATCGACGAGTACTATGACAATATTGCAAAAAGTATCAATGTTTGTAGGTTTTTTTTAGCTCAATACATGCCCATGAGGCCTGTAAATTTTGAAATCGATCGGTCAAAGTGTTTTCATTTCCTGAATCGTCAAAAGTTTTATAAAAAATTAATAGAGCACGTTTATTGCTCCTTAAACATCAATTAATCATGATTAAAATAAAAAAAATTTGCATTATTCTCCTTAATTTCGCGTTAAATACTCATGTAATATCAAAAATCTAAATTTAAAAAAAAATCTAATTTTTCAAATATTTTTGCGTTTTTTTTTTTTTTCACAATTTCACATTGAATACTTCAAATGTCTAGAAAAAAAATTTGTTAATAAACTAAGATTTTTTTTTATGAAAAAAATTTGTTTTTTTTTTAGACGTGGGAACTTTCAAAAAAAGGATCAATAAATCGTATAGCAATGCATGTTAAAAATGCATGAAGATTCACTTGGAGGTGTTAATGCAATAAATTTTAACTTGATGGAATATGACATGCAAAGAGAAAAATCGCATCAAAACAACAGAAAATTATTCAATATAATTTTTTGAATATTTTGACATCGAACAAAAATTTTTTGAAAAATTTGTTTTAGTTTTCAAAATTGGAATTATTTATTGAAGTATTTAACGCGAAATTATGAGTAAATAAAACAAAAAAAAATTTTTTCAATCTTAGTTATCATTAATTGATATTTAGAGCATTAAACCAGCTTTTTTATAAAACTTTGACGAATTAGGAAAGGAAAACGGTTTGACTGATTGATTTCAAAATTTACAGGCCTTATGGGCATGATATGTAGAGCTGAAAAACCTACAAATTTTGGTACTTTGGTACTTGGCAAATAAGTCGTTGATTTGCCAAAACAGTTGAAAAAGTCATTTTTTGCACTTTTTCAAATTAACACTGAGTATAAATTTATTTTTTTCTCAAACATACCAAACACCTTGAAGAGGATTTATTCAAGTTTCCAAAACCCACTTTCCGTTCGCTGTACGATCATTAGTTCATCAGCGTCAAAACTAAAATCTTCAAGCTTCAAGATGCTTATTTTTTTATTGATACAACCATTATTCACGATGTTACGGCCTTTCAAAAATCACTAAAAAAATTTGGAAATTTTTCTGCTCCCTCAATTTTTTTTGCTGAGTTTAGTTTTGTTGAGATTTACGTTCTCCATTTTATAGGTATATGATATACGTATATATTCTTATTACGAGTAATATTGTACAACATTTACTGATATTGAAGTTGAGTTTGTTTTCTTAACTCCAACCACATTAACCTCAACTTATAACAAATTAGTCATTTATACGGAGGCTACTTTTGACCTGTACATCTTAAAGTCATTGGTCATTTGTTTTTCACCTTGTCATATCAAATCAGGTGGATTGTTGTAGTTCACCCTAAACTAGATCAATATCAGAGGTCATTGAGACTGAGATTCATAAACTAAACACAATGCTTTAAGAAAATAGAAACAAATACTAATCAAAAAATGTTTTACAATATACAAAAACAATTGATTATTTTTCATTGCGGTGTCGTTCTCTGACATTCACTTAAATTCGTAAAATACATAAAAAGGTTACAGCAGGCAATGTTAATAAGTGCTCACATAGAACTCTGTTCAAGAGCTGCCCAGAATTCAAGTGCAGTTTAAAAAACAAATTATGACTTAGTCTAGTTAGATATTAGTGTCCTGGAGAACTTGTACCCCTAAAAAACTGACCCGTACTTAAAGTTTCAATGCATATTTTCAAGTTGTTTGTAGATAAATGGGATTTATAATGATATATGATCCTTAACAAAGTAAAAAAAACAGTAGCGGTCCCAAATTGGTACATCGGGGAACACCTGAATAAGCTATATATTCATTTGAAATGATATCAGTAAATTTGACTAAGAACATGTTGTTTCTTAAATAAGAAATAAGTAGTTTTTATTGTTTTACTTCATATAGACATAATTTCTCTAGCAGTGTTTCAATTTAATTTTTTTTATCTCTAAATCATTCGTTTCCAATAAACGTCTTGAATTTTAAAGGATACGGTAATAGACACTGAACTAGTAGAAGATTCGAACCAAAAGGACAAAGATTCTAAAGTTAGTAAAAACAAGAAGAAAAAAAAGAGAAAGAAAAACAAGAAAACCAGAGAAAACGAGGAGAAACAGAAAGGAACCGCGAAAGAAAATGAAGAAATCGAGGAATTAGACACGCCAAAGGGCGATGTTGAAATCGAGTGAGTAACAATTTATGCAACATTAAATTAACGATGTTTTAATTAATGCGTTGCAGGTACGTTCAAGAATCCATAGGGCTGCACGAGCTTGCGCCGCAATATCGGCAGTTCTACAGCATTTTCGAATCGTTCAAAATATCGGACCAGAAGGCGGACATAGCGCCCCCTATGCTCGCCACCCCTACCTCACTGTCGAGCAAAGCTATCATGGCCAACGACGACCTCTTAGAGGACATCGAGGACGCCGACGATGTGAGTTACGAACGAATCATAAAAAACGCGCTGACATTTTTTTAAATTCCAGAAAAAGCTGGAAGACAAGTCGAAACTGTCCAAGAGGAAAATGAAGAAACTGACGAGGTTGAGCGTGGCCGAGCTGAAGCAGCTGGTGCACAGGCCGGACGTGGTCGAAATGCACGACGTTACCGCCAGGGACCCCAAGCTGCTCGTGCAGCTGAAGGCGCACCGGAACACTGTCCAGGTAAAATTAATCCTTGTCGCCACTTACAGACTTATGTTGCACTTGCTTAGCCTTGGTTAAGAATCTTTGGCCTGCCCTTGTTCTCGGGCTAGGCTCTGTGGGGGCCGAGAACAGATTTTCAAAAAATAATGGCTTTTAAGTAAAAGTTAAAACGATTATAATGTTTTTTGCGATTGTAGGTTCCGAGGCACTGGTGCTTCAAACGTAAATACCTTCAGGGCAAAAGGGGTATAGAGAAGCCGCCGTTCAATCTCCCCGATTTCATTAAAAAAACTGGGATCATGGAAATGCGGGCCTCCCTTCAGGATAAGGACGAGTCTAAAACGTTGAAGGCTAAGATGAGGGAAAGGACGAGGCCGAAGCTGGGGAAAATCGATATCGATTATCAGAAGCTGCACGACGCCTTTTTCAAGTATGTATCGATTATTACAGAGCTTTTCGGTGGATTTAAAATTAAAAAAAATTTGAACGGAGTATGGATAAGCGGGTTTGACATTTTTTTGTTTAAATTGCCAAAGTAATAATAAGTATGTTCGGTAATAATGGAAATTATCATTTAACACGTTCCTAATATTATTGTTGATGATTCTTAATTTGTTCACTTTTTTTGTCTTTTCAACCCTTAAATAAGGGTGATTTTCGAACATTTTGGAAAAACTGAAAGTGATGCTCATTTTCATTTTCCGTGACGAGTGTTTGGATATTTTTAGAATATTTTTAGGATTTTCCCCGTCGTCTCTGTCTAACTTTCAAAAACAGGCGGAAAGATGACTTTTTTGCGGTCACTCTTTGCTGGTGCTGCACGTTTATGCTTATTTGTTATCGTATATTATGCATGTTGAAAATTCTCCAAAAATAATTAGTGTTTTTCAAATTTAACAAAAAAACCTGTAAAAATCACATACTTTGGTCCCGGAATGTGTCGAAACATTTTTTCAAAAAAAACGCCTTAAATTTTGTTGTGAATGACGTTAAAGGCAGACAAACCGTTCAAAAATTTGACTTTTTGTCGAATTTTCAAAGTGTTCAATGAATTTTGGGATCTAACATTATCTCGTCTACAAAGATTGGAAGAAAAGCGGGCTGTAGGAAAAAGTTTTTTTGTGGTCTATATGTTTCCAAAGTCTTTGAAAACTCACTAAAAACTGAATTTTTAACCGATTGGGTTAACTTTGAAGCTATTTTTAATTAGTGATGGGAGATTTCGAGCGAAAAATCGAGTGGTGAAAGTACTCGAATACTTTTAGTTCTCACGTTGACTGGAATATTTCAATCAACTGTTCTCGATATTTGCGAGGTTATCCGGCAAATGTCGTGGAAAATAATCGAATAAGTTGAAATCAACTGATTTAGCATGTCGAATGAATCAGAAGAATTTGAATACCTTTGGTTCTTGAAGGTCGATCAAATATAGCATTTACTTAAACAAATAGTTCTTCACAAAACTTTATATGCTTATCGTTCAACGTCTAGTCTTCCGTCCGGCATTCGGTTCTGTAACAATGTGCTGTTGATTTGTTAAATTTTACCAAAATCTGAAGTGTAAGGTGCGATAACAATGGCAAAGTATTCGTTAACATCATTTAAAAAGATGTTGGAAAACAAAGGCTCCAAGTAAGAGCCTTGGAGCACACCTGACATTGTGCCGATTTCACTCTACAGCCACCAGCAATACATTTTTATTGATTTTATTACACAGTTTGTCTAAATATGAATTAATGCACAAATAACAGACTTTCCTCCATTCTAACGCAGATTTTCTGTATAATGGACTTAGTTCGGAACTCAAGTTACTTTTTGGTGTAAAGAAATTTGTAATTTGCGATGCCAAAAGCAGCAAGTAACAAATTTCTTTACACCCAAAAGTAATTTGAGTTTCAAACTAACTCCATTTTATAGAAAATCTGCGTTAGAATGGGGGAAAGTCTGTTATTTGTGCATTGCTTCATATTTAGACAAACTGTGTAATAAAATCTATGAAAATGTATTGCAGGTTGCCTATTTGTCATAGAGCCCTCTTAACCATCTGATGCCTCTCTGAAAGACAACTTTTTATTTAATCTAAAAGAGGACAAAAAATTCTGAGCATATGAAATTTGTGGATTTGTATGATGACTCTATCAAAGAGTTTGGAAAAGTCTGTGTACATAGAAATTCATTTGAAATCGTTCCAAGGCATTTAGACCAACCAATAAATAGAGATTTTTTGGCACATTTAAATATTACAGCAAATTTCATATATTTCCTTTTGAAAAATACTTAGTAAGTGAAAACCCAAATGATTTCCCCAGCAAAGTCGTGAACAATTTTTTTTAAACAATAAAAACTGCAAAAAAATTACATTTTTTTTGTTTTTTTATAATATCTAGAAAAATAATGATGGAATCGTCTTACTCTCAATAGGACTTTTGTAGAGAATGAAAAAATCTATAAAATGGTTTTTTGTGCGACCCAATCGTTCATTTTTTACAGAGAAAATCCGGAAAAACCTCTAAAATAGACCGTTTTTCAAAAATTCATAACTCCGTCAAATTTGAAGCTGGAAAAGCAATCTTGTGGAAAATCACAGATAATAATATGTAGATTAATGGTGTGCAAGATGGTTTCTGTCCGATGCATAGTTTTTGCACAATTGCATTATAAACAAATTAGGGTCTCTTTTTGCACGGCGCACACTGGGAAATATTGGAAAAAATTCGAGCCACACGTCAAAACTAATCAAATAGTACTGATTTTTTTTTTTCTTTCCGAAATTACCTGTACTATAAAGTTCCGGGGAGATAATTGGAATATATGCCTAGAATTTTTTCAAAATGGCCTATCTCTAGCCTCAAATTCGATCATACAAAGTTTGACATATTCAATATCTAAATATGAAAAAAAAAGGAAAATTATGTACCCACAACCATCAAAAAAAAATCATTAAACATTAAATCATGATTCTAGACCAGCGTTGCCAGATTTTTTTTCGGGCAAAGCGGGATTTTGGAACTTTTTGAATAAAAAAGCGGGTTTCTTTCGTCGAAAAACGGGATATCTGGGAAACAAATTGTTTTGAAAGAAATCAATGTCAGATAAACAGACTTGAAGGAAATAATTGATGTCTAAAAAAAATAATAAGAGCGGGAAAAGCGGGATTGAGCTTGTCCCGCGCAGGACATTTAATTTTGGGTTAAAAATGCTCTAGACCCAAAACCTAACCTCAAATTTATAAATCTTAACCTAAAACGAACATACTCAATTTTTTCTAAACCTACGAGTATAAATCCATAAAAATGGTACTTTTGAGTGTGCAACCAATATTTTTGCATAACTTTAACTCAAATTCATAGGAAGCTGACCAGGAAACCTGAAAACCTAACCTCAAATCCAAAATAATTAAGTTAAAAAAATCCACAGAAACAATATATTTCCTTCAACAAAGGATATGATTGCTTCAAAAAGACATTCTGCAGTATATGTTTTCCTGTGCATACCTAAAATTTAAATCCATAAAACGTAACCTTAAAGGACTAGAACCTAACCTCAAATGTTTAAAATTTAAGCTAAAAATAAAAAAAGCAAACAAACCAATCCATTTTACGAAAAAAAAATTCTTGAACCAAAATTTTGCAACTGTGCATGACAAACCTAAGAACCTTGTAGCCTAACCTCTAATTTGCAAAACCTAATATAAATGGATTAGTTTGCTTTTTTTTATTTTTAGCTTAAATTTTAAACATTTGAGGTTAGGTTCTCGTCCTTTAAGGTTACATTTTATGGATTTAAATTTTAGGTATGCACAGGAAAGCATATATTGCAGAATGCCTTTTTGAAGCAATCATATCCTTTGTTGAAGAAAATAGGTATATTGTTTCTGTGGATTTTTTAACTTAATTATTTTGGATTTGAGGTTAGGTTTTCAGCTTCCTATGAATTTGAGTTAAAAGTTATGCAAAAATATTGGTTGCACACTCAAAAGTACCATTTTTATGGATTTATACTCACAGGTTTAGAAAAAATTAAATTGAGTATGTTCATTTTAGGTTTTTTGTTTCTTTTTTTTTTCATTTTTAGATACCGAATATGTCAAACTTCGAATGATCGAGTTTGAGGCTAGAGATTACTCGGCCATTTTAAAAAAATTCTAGGCATGTATTTCAATTACCTCACCGGAACTTTATAGTACAGGTAATTTCAGAAAGAATAAAAAAAATCAGTACTATTTGATTAGTTTTGACGCGTGGCTCGAATTTGTTCCAATATTTCCCACTGTGCAGTGTGGCGATTTATCAAAAATGGTCCAATTTAAATTCTGAGAACGGCATCTGAAAGTTAACTACAAAATCTCTACTACGTGGAGCGTACTTTCGATTGTTTTGGGCGACTTTCAAGGGCATTTGTAGCATATTTCCCATTACCGTGCTATCCGTGAAAATCCGTGATATATAAATTGGAGATTTTGTCGTCTACTTTCAGATGCCGTTATCAGAATTTAAATCGGACCATTTTTTGATAAATTGCCAGGTTGTGCAAAAAAGACCCTAATTTGTTTATAATGCAATTGTGCAAAAACTATGTATTGGACAGAAACCATCTTGCGCACAATTAAACATTATTATTATAATCCGCCATTTTCCACATGATTGTTTTTCCAGCTTTAAATTTGACGGAGTTATGAATTTTTTAAAAAAGATCTATTTTAGAGGTTTTTCCGGATTTTTTCTGTAAAAAATGAAGCGATCGAGTCGCACAGAAAACCATTTTATAGGTTTTTTTGATTCTCTACAAAAGTCCTAATGAGAGTAAGACGATTCCATCATTCGAAATATTATAAAAAAAACAAAAAAAAATTATTTTTTTTTGCAGTTTTAATTGCTTAAAAAAAATTTTTCACGACTTTGCTGGGGAAATCACTTGGATTTTCATTACTAAGTACTTTTCATAAGGAAATACATTAAATTTGCTGGAATATTTAAGTGTAAAAACAGCGTCTTTTTTCGCTTTATTGGTTGGCCTAATTTGTCGAGAAGTGACTGTAAGCCAACAAATTCTACTCGATAGATCGTTTACAATAAACGACTCATTTGATTAAACTGTAATACTCCGCTATTCCGATCCCTTCAGGTGGCAAACGAAACCGAAAATGACGATCCACGGCGACCTCTACTACGAGGGCAAAGAATTCGAAACCAGGCTGAAGGAGAAGAAACCCGGGGACCTGTCGGAGGAACTGCGCACGGCTCTCGGGATGCCCGTGGGGCCCAACGCCAATAAAGTTCCGCCGCCGTGGCTGATCGCCATGCAGAGATACGGTCCGCCTCCGAGTTATCCCAATCTGAAGATCCCCGGCCTGAACGCCCCAATTCCCGAGGGGTGCTCCTTCGGTTACCATGCCGGAGGTTGGGGTAAACCTCCGGTGGACGAAAACGGCAAGCCGCTGTACGGCGATGTGTTCGGAACGAACACCAGCAACATTGACGTGAGTCGTTAACAATTTTTGTAGTCTAAGTGTTTATAATTTCAGGAAAATGCGATGCAGCGTTTCGGCTATTAGGCCGTCAACGGGGAATATTTACAATATACAGGGTGTATCACGAAGAGGGCCTAGTAGGATTGTCTTAAAAAGTAGTCACAATTGAAATCTGAAGAATTGAGTCTCTCTTTGTTGTAAGAAAACTGGCGAATTGCCCAGTGACGGCGTAGACAAGATTTAAAATGTTTTTTTTTAACAACGATTTTTTACGACAGCAAATATTGTATTGAATTTTTAAAAGGAACCCTTCACGCAAAATCTTTATAATTTGTCGAATTATCCTTCTCAGGATATCGGGGAGGACCCGAACGTCGACAGATCGCTTTGGGGTGAACTGGAGTCCGAGTCGGAGGAAGAGAGCGAAGAGGAAGAGGACGAGGAGGAAAAGGACAGTCAGAACGTTGTAGACGACTCGGGACTGGTCACGCCAGCAGAAGGACTTGTGACGCCTAGCGGTCTCACTAGTATCCCGGCCGGTATGGAAACGCCGGAGGCCATCGAGCTGAGGAAGAAGAAGATAGAAAACGAGATGGACGGGTAAGTTTTTTTTTTCATTTTTATAATGCGATGGAAGCAAAAAGTACGAGTCCTATGAGAAACGTTTTTATTAAAACTTTAATAAATTTTATGTGTGTTTTTCACAACTTATTAACAAAAAATTGAAAAAAAATATCAGTACAAAGGAGGCATAAAAACGAATACCTTGAAAATTATTTAAAAATATCGATCTAATAAATCGAATTTAACTAATGCGTTTTTTAACGGCGAACGTTGTTTCTTTTACAGCACGCTTCCAGTAAATACAGCATACACTGCCAATAATAGCCGACGTAGAAAATGAGCTTTGCAACGTTTTTTAAAGAAATTATTAAATAAAAATTATCTATTTGGGTTGGTTGAATGTGTGGTTAAAATTTTGGCACTTATTTTTGGAACACCTTGTATATAAATATGATGTATAAAAAGATATCCCAAATGTATTGAAAGAAAAGTTTAGAAAGTACGAAAGCATAGGAAGGTTATACATTTTTTGTTGTTTTTTCTTTTTTCTTTGCCAAATTTCAAGTTCAAGCTTAAAATTTCCAGTTAAAGCTTGATATGAATGTAACTTGAAATTTTGAGTTGAACCTTGAAATTTTTAATTTATTGCACAATTAAAACTTGAATTGTTAAGTTTCAACTTGAAATTTCAAAGTTAAATTTTAAATTTGAACTTGAAATTTCGTGTTTACAATCAAAATTTCAAGTTGTGGAAATTTTGATTGTAAACGCGAAATTTCAAGTTCAAATTTAAAATTTCATACTTGAATTTTTAAAGTGCGCTATTGTGACGTGAAATTTTGTGTTTGAAATATATGAGTGTAACTTAAAATTACAAGTTCAAATTTAAAATTTCATACTTGAATTTAAAGTTCGCTATTAAAACTTGAAATTTTGTGTTTGAAATATACGAGTTTAATTTACAATTTCAAGTTCAAATTTAAAATTTCCCACAAAATTTCAAGTTCAAATTTAAAATTTCGTACTTAAACTTAAAGTTCGCTATTGTGACTTGAAATTTTGTGTTTGAAATATCCGAGTTTAACTTACAATTTCAAGGTCAAATTTAAAAATTCACACTTGAATTTAAAGTTCGCTTTTAAAACTTGAAATTTTGCGCTTGAAATATGCGAGTGTAACTTAAACTTTCAAGTTCAAATTTAAAATGTACTTGAATTTAAAGTTCGCTATTAAAACTTGAAATTTTCTATTTGAGATTTGCGAGTTTGGCTTAAAATTTCAAGATCAAATTTAAAATTTCGTACTTGAATTTAAAATTCGCATTTAAAACTTGAAATTTTGTGTTTGAAATATGCGTATAACTTAAAATTTCAAGTTCAAATTTAAAATTTTGTACTTGAATTTAAAATTCGCTATCGTGACTTGAAATTTTGTGTTTGAAATATGCGAGTTTAACTTACAACTTCAAGGTCAAATTTAAAATTTCGTACCTGAATTGAAAGTTCGCTTTTAAAACTTGAAAATTTTGTATTTGAGATTTGCGAGTTTAACTTAAAATTTCAAGTTCAAATTTAAAATTTTGTACTTGAATTTAAAATTTCAAGTTTGAACTGGATATATTAAATTTATACGCAAAATTTCAAGTTTAAATTAAAAATTTTAGACTTGATTTTAAAGTGCAATTAAAATTTAAAATTTTGTGCTTGAAATATACAAGTTTAACCTGAAATTTTGACTTCACCCTCGAAATTTTAAATGTAAATGTGAAATTTCAAGTTCAAATTTAAAATTTCATACTTATTTGAATTTTTAAAGTGCGCTATTGTGACGTAAAATTTTGTGTTTGAAATATGCGAGTTTAACTTAAAATTTCAAGTTCAAATTTAAAATTTCGTACATGAATTTAAAGTTCGCTTTTAAAACTAGAAGTTTTGTGTTTGAAATAAGCGAGTTTAACTTAAAATGTCGAGGTCAAATTTAAAATTTTGTACTTAAATTTAAAATTCACTTTTAAAACCTGAAATTTTTTGCTTGAATTTAAAATTCGCTTTTAAAACTTGAAATTTTGTGTTTGATATATACGAGTTTAATGTAAAATATCAATTTAAATTTAAAATTTTGTGCTTGAATTTAAAGTTCGCTTTTAAAACTTGAAATTTTAAATTTAAATTTATACGCAAAATTTCAAGTTTACATTAAAAATTTTAAATTTGATTTTAAAGTGCAATTAAAATTTGAAATTTTGTGCATGAATACACAAGTCTAACCTGAAATTTCGACTTCGTTCTCGAAATTTTAAATGTAAATATGAAATTTCAGGTTCAAATTCAAAATTTAACTCTTGAATTAAAAATGTCCAGTAAAAACTTTAAATGTTGCTTTTGATTTTTACTTTTTTTGTCCGTCAATGTATTTATTTTCTGAATTCGCTCCATAGAGCAGAGACGCCGGTACTGTACCACATCATCCCAGAGAAGAGGAACGAGAGAATCGGCAACGCCATGATGGCCAGCAGCCACGTGTACGACATGAGCAACGTGGGCGGCGCGGGACCTCCTCCCGTCATTTCCAGAAGGACGGATCGCGAGGGAATGGTGGAATTGGCCCTGGATCCCTCGGAACTGGACATGGACAGCGACGCCATGGCCGTGAGGTACGAGCAACAGATGAGGGAGAACCAGTCGCAGCTGCAGAAGGAGGACCTCAGCGATATGCTGGCCGAGCACGTCGCAAAACAAAAGGTAATTTTAATAACGTGCAGGTTTTAGAAAAAGGTGCAAAAATACAAAAACTACTGCTTCTGAACGCTTTTAATAGATTGTTTTCTTTTTTTACAGAGCAAACGTAAACGTCAGCAACAGGACACGAAACAAACAAAGAAATATAAAGAATTTAAATTTTAAGAATTCCCATGTAAAAAATTTAAGTAAAATCTTGTCCGCTATGGATTTGGTGTTTTTGTATGTATCGCTAGAATTAAAGCTAAAATAAAGAAAGTCGTATTATTTTTATCCCCTGAATATTTCATAATATTCAACGCCCTGTATACACTACAAAATTAGAGGAAGCCGATAAGTTTTTTTTCTGTTTATTAAATTTTAAAAATTAAAATACAAAAATTCGCTAAAAGCAGTAAAATAAAGTTGGCATTGTAATTTCATTAAATTGTATGTAACACACGTCACTGTCATCTAGTAAGTTTGGTTGCATAACATTGCAATCACCATGATCTAGTAACATACATATTATTGTCAGCGGTGTAAGTTTGGTTGCCTAACATTTCCGTCGAGAAATAAAGACCCAAAATCTCGAAAACTGATCTAGTTGTTAAAGAGGAACTGAATTCAGTTTTGGATTGGTCAGGGCCGTCATTGTCTACCGAATTTTTTTCAAATTTTTCTGAGCCTTTCAATGATTTGAGAAGAATCTAGAAATGTCACGAATATGCGAGTAGCATGTCTCGAAATCAAAACGTTTATTTAAAAAATAAAGAAAGTTAGTACATATTTGAAAATTTAATATTAAAAACTGATTTACGATTTGAATTATCTCAACTTTTTCTGAGTTTAATTTGTCTTAAAAATTATAAGTGCGCCATCTATACATTATGAGCTCTATTAAGTCGCCAGAGAATGAGAAGCTGTTACAGTTGGCTACCTACTAAAGAATTATACCATAGTTCAGTGCAGTTTCTGAGAGATAGATGGCGGTATGAAATAATCTCCCTGCTATAAAACATGGAGACTATACACAAGAGCACGAACTCCATGTAAACAAATATTTTACCAAATTAAGAGGGCGCTAGTGTCCCATATGTACCGTTTAGAGAGGGGTGATAAAAATAGCGGCACTTTTTATTTACTACTATAAAAACAAAATGCAATAATTATTGACTTGACTTCTACATTTTAGGTTAGTATACCATCTATATCTTCCCGATATATCTACTCAACTCATTATAAAATAAAATTGGTTATTTGCTTACTTCACTCGTATTTATTATGCTACATTCTCTAGCGCCACCCCAACTTCTGCCATTTCTTGGACAAATTTTGTCAATTTTCCCGTATGAGTCCGTGCTCCTTGTCTAGTCTCCCTGCTATAAAGCTTGATTGGTAATAGACCAAGCAAATTAAATTTCTACTCGAAAAAAGTCCTATCCGCTAGATTATTGTAAAACTGTCTAAAAGAACATAATACAAGACATCTGTCGTCTCGTGAGTCAACAACTTTTATTAGCTAACTTTTCTATTTAAACAAATAAGTGAGGAAAACAGTTTTTTCACTTTGCAGGGAAAACCATCAATTTTAGCGAAAAGTGACTCACAGACAGCTTATAGGGAGTAAAATTATCTACAAAATGAGACTTGTTAAATTAAAATCGGTTAATAAATAAAAAAGTTATTGCAAAAAAAAAACAAGAAAAGTGCCTATTTTTTAATTTGTTTGTAACTATCGCATTTATTGTTAAAATTTTATAAAACCTTTGACAAGTTGCGGGTTTTGTCATACTTCAAGAGTGTGCCAAAAGTGGGCGCTGTATAGGTGGTGTAGGTTTTCGCACAATTCTATTTGTTTATAACGGAGGCTCCAAAAGTTATGAACTTTAAGCCCTTGTATAGGCGTTAATTTTCAACCAAAGACGTAATTAAGCGACCTATTAAAAAATATCACCGTTTTTTTGACATTAACATTCTCAAATTGTGCATTAAAAAACCGTGCGTTTTTTGCTTATAAACAATTTGAATAACATTGTTGTTATTTATGCTGCCTCACCGAAAATAGATGCAACGGATAGCTGGCATAAAAATACAGTTTTAAAATAAAAAAAGTACCATCTACGATCAACAGGAGCCAAGATAAGATTTTTTTTTAAATCGAAGCGCAATTGTTTATAAATATTAAGACTTGAATTTTTCATAAAATACAGTTTCCGACGTAAACTACGATTTCCCGTGAATTGCATTGAAAAATGTGGAAAATTAACTACTCACGAGCCCTTTAAAGAGAAGGTACTCGCCAAGTAAACTATCCGGCATTCCGGCGCACAGTGGTACATACGAAACGCCACTGTCGCATTCAAATTACTCTACACCCCACATAGTTCAACTGTTTCGGGTGATTTTTTTTTTCAAAATGTTCGTCTTGAATGTCCCTATCGAACTCTCATTTGGGATTTTTGATTTCGGTCTTCATTTTTTTGAAAATTGACTCCAAAATTCGATTTTTATGAAAAAAAAACTGATTTTCGGCGTAAATGTACACATGGCGCAAGTTGATGTTTTTCGAAATTTTTTTCAGCTGAAAATCTTTGTTTTGATAAATACTACAAAACTGTCTACATGAAAGTCGGGAGAAAATTTTTTCATATTCGCAAAAACGGTCATAATGTTCCAAAAATTTTCGTGGTGAAGCGAATTTTTAATTCGAAATTTCGCAACCTGGGGAAAAATTAGATGAACCAAAAGAATCACTCGAGGAATACTCAAAAAAAATTTCCTGAATTTTTGGATACATTTCAAAATTTTTGGATTTGGACATTTTTTGAAATGTCCCAAAATGAGTCCAAAAATTCTGGAAAATTTTTTTGAATACCGTCACTTTCACTTTGGGTGTAAATCATGGAGACTTATCTAGTATCCCTGGTGTAAATTAACAAGAATTATGCCAAATTTTACTAATGATAAATATGTGGACATGCTACATTATACGCTCTTGTTGCCGCAGCACAGTTTGTGCGACATTCAAAATACACTTGTAGCATGTCCACATATTCATCATTAGTAAAATTTGGCATAATTCTTGTTAATTTACACCCAAAAAGTATTTAGCTGAAAACAGTGACAACTTACAGAAGAGTTAATTGTGACAACTGGCATGACAGCAGCACACTTAGTTTTTCTTTGAATGATTGCAATCATATACGGTGTGAGGTGAATGGTAATATATTTTATTTTTTTATTAATAAACGAAAAGCTTTAAAGAAAAATTGCTAGAGAGGTAAAAGTTTCTAAAAGAACCAGTTTATCTAATGCGTATTTTTGGATATCGAGTTTTTACGAAATATAAAAGTTATGGCAAAAAATGGCTTGAGGGGTGGTTATTTCAACCCCTTTCGAGGGGTTAAAATTTTCGAAAAATAGTTGAAAACTCGCATCTGTATTAGTAAACAACCTGTAAAAAATTTGTTATTTGTACCTCGTTCGGTTTTCAAATTACAGCCAATTTTCATAATTTTTTTGGAAACTTTGATGGCCCATATCTCTTCAGGGGTGAACATTTTACTAAGGCGATTTTTTGCAGATCGTGTTCTTTTGAAATGTAGATTCATTGGTATCATTTATGCTACTCCATTCAAAAACACCCTGTATTTAAAGGATCACGTTATCAATGTGGCTCATTTTTATTCAAACACTAATATTTGTTCATCTGATACAGATAATTTATGTCATTAAATTGTTTTTGTTGTTTCTAAAATAAACGATATTTTAATAAATATCTTCGGTGCTAACATTGATAATGATAAGGAGGAGGACTGACATGAACAACATGAGGTTATTTTTTTACTTTATTATTACAAAATATAGGTAAATATTGAACAACTTCGAAAAGATGGTCGTTTATTTTATAAAAATAGGAATACAACGTTGACGTTGAATAATATATTACATTACATTGTAATTGTAATAATTTTCAGTCACATTATCAGTGGACATTGGAATTGATGATGTTATTTTTAAAATAACATGCGGCTATTCAAATATTAATAAAGTAGTTTAAATTTAACAGGCGATTGTAATATTGACACAGATTATTTTCTATTCCATCATATTTAACATCGTCCAATCAGGTCTAATTTATACACCTCTGAACGTTGAACTGGTTTTATCCGTAAGAGTAGGTAAACAAATTTATTTACTCATTATGGTTTTATCTGTGCACAATTTTTGTAAATAAATACGATTTCACTATGTCAGAGCCCTAGATAAATGATACTGTAGATCGTAAACTTGAACACATTTGGTGGTAAGTAACAGCACTAACTATTGACACTTTCTCCAACTTCTATTGCTTTCCTTTTCTAGGAGTTATCGGTAATACAGTGAGTTAAATTACCTGTAACTGGTAAAAGATGCAAGCGCCATATATATATACTATATACTACTAACTATATACCTACCCAATAATATTTGTTTTAGGTATTCTGCCGCCGCTAAATTTAAAATTACATAACAAATCTCACCCTACACAGATCACTCAGAAATTGGTTTTGTTAAAATAATTTTCACGTAATTAATTTTTGTCACCATGAGAAAATAAATACAAATTTAACAAAAAGAATTAAAATCGCTCAAGCATTAAAGACACTTTTAAAAGCTCTAATAGCCTTCCTACTTAAACTAAGAAATAATTTTGATACTGTAACTTTTTGAAATGTTTGTTGAAAAAATTTCAAATTTCAGTACATATTTAAAAAAAAAGAGTGGAAATGATTATAGAGCAGCTTTCATTGCTTTCTATATTATATTAGATTTCACGGTGAATAAAAAATATTACAAGTAAATAATTTTACTAAACCAATCTGAATAATTCTTGTAATACAGATTTATTATGCAACTTTTTCGTTGTGTTGATAGCCATAAAAAAACTACCTACCTCTGATCACGACAAACTTTCAGACATTTTTTATTAAAACAAACAAAAAACCAAAACATTTTATTATTAATAAAAAAATGTGATTATATGATCAGACATTATTATGTTATACAGTGAATGAAATGTGAAAACACACTAAAAATACAAATAAAACACACCAACACTCGCCAAACCTAACCAACAATAAATATGAACAACATAAATTACATGAAATGATTCATAATTGCAATTGTCAAAATTCGTATTCTACAAAATCTTTGTGGCGACGTCTATAGACTCTTTCTCCAACTTGTATATCCATCTCAAGTCACGTGGTTCCCAGTTTCCCCATATT